AGAGCAAGGAGGGGCAAGCGAGAGAGGGAGCGACGGGAAGGTGCGTGGGAGACCTGTGACGAGTCCCTGACTGAGCATGCCACGAAGGCGAGGGATCGACGGGGGGCCAAGACGGTGGTGCCACAGGACGGTGCTGTGGGCGAGAGAGCGACAGGAGCAAGACGCGGCGACTGGACTGGACACAGCGACAGGACTGGACACGACTACCTGTCTAGACACAGCAACTGGACTGGGGACCTGGGCCGGAGGGGACGCAACGACCTGAGGGGAGGACGCGACCGGGGAGCGCTCGGTGTGGAGAACGTAGAGACCGGAGCGGGGCTCCCTGGTGAACGTGGCCAGAACAGCACCTGTGGTAGCGTCAGTACAGACTGCAGTCCGCCCACCCCCCACGAAGGTAACTGTGATCCCCCTGTCCTGGAGGTATCCAACACCCACCAAGTTCCGAGAGAACGAGGGGATGTGGAGGCCACGCAGGACACCAGAGGGGACCACAGGGCACGGGAGGGTGGTGGAGCTACGCGCAACGGCTGGTCCAGAGGTAGGATCAGCCAGAGCCACCGACACAGGTGTGAGCAGTGGCGTAAGGGTCGTGTGGTCGCGGAAGAAGCACTGAGACGCGCCCGAGTCCAGCGTGAACGAAAGAGAGGCCTCAGCCGGTGGGTCACCTGACCCAGTCGCTACACAAGCACCTAGAGCAGCAACACAAGCACCTAAGCTAGACAGGCACAAGGCTACACTAGCAGGAGGCAAGCAGGCTAACCTACGAACACGCGAGCACCCAGATCCATCAGCACTAAAGTCAGCATCAACATACAAAGCATGCTGACGCGCATCGTCCATGGACAAAGCAAATACATCAATCTTACGGGCTAACAGACGAGACCAGCGAGGCGTGACCGCCAGAGGGCCCCAACGAGCCCGGTAGAGGTCGTCGAGGCGGCGGAAGCACCGCGCGGCAGAGTGGTCGTCGCGACCACAGAGACAGGGGCTACCCGGCCCGGTGACGCACCAGTGGGTGCACGGGCCAGCGTCACGGCGAGGGGGACGAGGGGCCCAGCTGGAAGTACTGCTGCTGCGGCTGGTGCTCCCAGGGCCTCCCGGACCCCACTGCGGCGGGGGACCCCAGTGCTGCTGCGGACCCCACTGCAGCGGGGGCCCCCACTGCTGGAACTGTTGCGGCGCCTGCTGGTGGTGCTGTCCCTGCTGCTGCTGCTGTCCCTGCTGTGGCAGGTGCTGCTGTGGCTGCTGCTGCTGGGGGGGAACGCCCCCACCGGTCGGGCCACCACCTGTGGGTGGGCCTGTCTGTCCAGCACCTCCTCCAAGCCCCCCTCCCCCAGGTGCACCACCGCCGCCGCCGCCGCCGCCTCCGCCACCATCGGCGCTCCCACCTCCACCGCTACCTCCACCGCCGCCTCCACCGCCTCCACCTCCCCCCTTCCCGCCCTTCTTGCCACTCTTGCCCCGTTTCTGCCAGTCTGCGGCAGAAACGGAAGCGGTGTCCTCAGAGACCGACACAGCAGCAGAAGCGCGGGTAGCGGTGAAAGTGGGAAGCTGAGGGGCGGCACACCCCGCAAAGAGACGGGGGGCCACCGCATCAGTGGCGGAGGCAACGGTGAGGAGACTGCTCTCGATGGTCCCTAGAGCAGTCGCTAGGAGGTCGATAGTGAGCTCAGTGGGGTGCTTCTGAAGAAGCGCGTCGCGGGCAGTGGCAAGGCGGTCAGGGAGGCGGGTGACTAACCAGTGCACAGTGAGCCACATGGGGGGGGGAGCAACAAGGAGCTGTGCGTCGGTACAGGCAGCACGGAAACCGGCGTCAAGCGAGCGGAGGTGAGTCACGAGATCGGAAACAGTCGCAAACGAGCCTAGGTCGGGAAACACAAATGGCATGAGGAGGCGACTGAGGGAGGCAGAGGAGGGGGTGGAGTAGCGGGCAACAATAGCATCCCACACCCCCTGGGCTGTCTCCACCTGGTCAAAGTGGGCGGCCTCAGTCGGGGGGAGAAGCTCCGACAGTGTGAGAGCGGCGGCAGCGTCACGCGAGAGCCACACGTCCCTGGCCAGGACCCGACGGTCGTACTCCGCCTGGGCCGTAGGGGTCGGCTCCGGGGTGGTAGGCAGGGCGGCGGGGGACGGGGGGGCCTATAGGGCACCAGACGCGTGAGCCCACAGAGTGGCGCAGTCCTGTCGCTGGCTGGTGAGGAAGCGCGTGGTCTGGCGCTGCCAGGTGCCGAACTCTACCGGGCGTCTCTCCGCGTCGAAACGGAGGCGACGAGACTCCATAACGGAAGACATGCTCGAGGCGGCTGGAGCACGGCGGAGGCTGAGCTAAGAACGAGGAGGACGGCTACTGAGGGCGAGAGACGCCAGGTGGAACGCTACGAGTGAACCGATAGCGGAAGGAGCAAACGAGGTGAGGCGGAGAACGGCTAGGGACGCCAGGGACGGAGCGACTAGGAGCTAGGGAGGATTCGGCGCTACGGCTAGCTACCGGAGGTATGAGCGGCTGCCAGCCGCTGAGGTGAAGGCCAGTGACCGGGAGAATGGGGAGGGCCCGGGAAACAGGGCGGAGGAGGGGTGAAAACGGTCACGTGCCGAGGGTAGGTGCGGATCGGGCGGGCTAGGGTGATGCTGACGGTGGGAATGGGCGGGAGGGCGGTTTTGACGGTGGGAATGGGCGAGAGGGCGGTTTTGACGGTGGGAATGGGCGGGGAGGGCGGTTTGACGGTAGGAATGGGCAGGGAGGGCTGTTTTGACGGTGGGAAAGGGCGGGGGGAGGGCGCGACGAGCTGGGGCAGCGCCTACGGGCTACGCGCTGGCTAGGGGCAGGGCGCACGGGCGCCGCGACGGGCTGGGGCAGGGCCTACGGGCGTCGCGACGGGCTGGGGCAGGGCCTACGGGCGTCGCGACGGGCTGGGGCAGGGCCTACGGGCGTCGCGACGGGCTGGGGCAGGGCCTACGGGCGTCGCGACGGGCTGGGGCAGGGCCTACGGGCGTCGCGACGGGCTGGGGCAGGGCCTACGGGCGTCGCGACGGGCTGAGGCAGGGCCTACGGGCGTCGCGACGGGCTGGGGCAGGGCCTACGGGTGCCGCGACGGGCTGAGGCAAGGCCTACGGGCGTCGCGCGGGCTAGGGGCAGGGCGCGGGCTAGGCGCGCGTTAAGGGGGGGCGGGCTGAGGGCCACGCTAAGGGGCGCGGGCTAGGAGCGCGAGTGCGCAACAACCTCGGAGGGCGCGGAGGGTGCGGAGTGCGCTAGGCGCGACGGAGGGCGCGGAGGGCGCTAGGCGCACGGAGGGCTAGGCTAGGAACGTAACTACTCGTGATACCATCTCAAACAGTGAACGCAACGGAATGGTTGGAATAGAAACGAATGGGGTACAAATAAGCAACCCTAGAAGCTGTACCCCCTAGAGTGCAACTCACTACAGCCTATCACATCAATGTGCAACATTTGACACCTCGGTCCCCTTCCCCCCGGCTCTCAGGCCAACTCGGGGACCCTCGGTCCCCTTCCCCCCCTGGGGGCGGCTCTCAGGCCAACTCGGGGACCCTCGGTCCCCTTCCCCCCCTGGGGGCAGCTCTCAGGCCAACTCGGGGACCCTCGGTCCCCTTCCCCCCCTGGGGGCGGCTCTCAGGCCAACTCGGGGACCCTTGATCCCCTTCCCCCCCTGGGGGCGGCTCTCGGGCCAACTCGGGGACCCTCGGTCCCCTTCCCCCCCTGGGGGCGGCTCTCGGGCCAACTCGGGGACCCTCGGTCCCCTTCCCCCCCTGGGGGCGGCTCTCGGGCCAACTCGGGGACCCTCGGTCCCCTTCCCCCCCTGGGGGCGGCTCTCGGTCCCCTCGTTTCGATGTGCGTGCAGTTGGTCCTGTCGTCGTTGCAATTTTTCCGCGCGACTAGTAGAGTCCAACTTCAATCAGCGGCTTTCCATCTTGTGCCTGCCACAAGGGAGCATCGAGATTGATAGGCAATGAGAGAAGAAATTAGAACTGGAAAGAAGAAAAATAAAATGAAAACAAATTTGCAACAATTTATATGCAGCTAAACAATTTGTGAGGTGGCATGGGGTACTGGTTGACGCCCAGTCAAACGCCTTAGGTGCGGCAGTGGCAGTTTCTTGACTGCCGCGCCACTGGCCATTTCGTCCGTGGCGATTTCGCCACAGGCGCGCGCCACTGGCGCAAGTGGCGATTTCGCCACACACGCGCGCCAGTGGCGCAAGTGGCGATTTCGCCACACACGCGCGCCAGTGGCGCAAGTGGCGATTTCGCCACACACGCGCGCCAGTGGCGCAAGTGGCGATTTCGCCACACACGCGCGCCAGTGGCGCAAGTGGCGATTTCGCCACACACGCGCGCCACTGGCGCAAGTGACGATTTCGTCAAAATCTTACGCCACTGGCGCACGTGGCAATTTCGTCACTGATGCGCCAGTGGCCGTTGCTTCATGCGCAGCTCATTCTCGGTTGTGCGCACGCCAAGTGCATCGCGGGCGCGATGCTGTACCCTCCGCAGTTAACGCGCGTAGCAGCTACTAAGTTATGTTGCTGCTGCAGCACTTGTTCTAGCGTTGTCCCCATACTAAAATAAGTGTGAATTAGGAATTAGTGAGTAGAAGTGGTTGGACGAGAATGAAGCGGAACTGTTAAGTTCCGAAATGAAGACGTGGGTGGAGGCCAAATGGCCTCCAACCATCGTTATGTACTCGGAGATATGCATTTGCAGTTGCCTTGCTTCACTACAGTCAGCTGCGCTTTCAAAATAATTATTTTTAGAAAGTGTTTCACACTTTCAAAAAAATTCATTTTTCATCTTGGTTCGTGGGTAAAGAAAAGTTCGACGCCTATGATTCCGATTTGTTTTGCCGACGGTAGTTTTTAAGCCCATCGGACAATCAAACTGGTTTAGGCATTTGACTTAAAACCGTAAACATGCACATAATGCATGAACCCACTTTGGTTTGTTATAAACATGCACAAGCAGCTATACAACCATACCCAGCATCATCTGTACAAGTAGTGAGGGCGGCGCCTCGAAAGAGAACGATGAGATGAGCCTGAAGCAGATCCCATCAACAGCAGGCAAGGCATTTGCCTTCCCAGGAGCAGCAAAGGGAGCAGCTTAGGTGGTAGGCGATGGTGGGAGGACTGAAGCAGCCGCATGGGGAGAGCAGCAATAGCAGTGCTTGAGAGAAGAGAGAACAGTGGGTGGTTATGACTGGCAGATGAGGTTATGAGCATGGAGTCAGAAGTAGGAGGGCGATGACTCTGAGGAGCGTGAGAGCCAGTACACAAGGCCACTGCAGGGGGGGGGAGGAGGGGAGACAGGGGCGAGTAAGCAGAAAGGTGGGTGGTTGAAGCAGAGTGTATGCGGGCAGATAAGGGGCAGATGACAGATAATGAATCCGCACAGCTGGGGATGATGAAAGCGCATTGGAGACCCATGACAGGCCCAAAATATCGCACCTGGCAGCACACACGCACCTGGCAGCACACACGCCCTGGCAGCACACACGCACCTGGCAGCACACACGCACCTGGCAGCACACACGCCCTGGCAGCACACACGCACCTGGCAGCACACACGCACCTGGCGATGATGAAGGCGCACTGGAAGACGCCTGCAGCGCCGGGCCAGGAGGACGTGCTGGGCGGCGATGCGTCCTTTATGAGCATCCCCGCCGCCCCCGCCAGCGATGCAAAGGCGATGACGTATGCCAGGAAGAGCCACGTGCGCGACCTGGGCGGAGGGGTGGAGGGGGAGCGTGGGGAGGGACGGTGGGGGAGGGCGGTGGGGGAGGGGGGCGCAGGGGAGAAAGATATGCAATTGGTGTGCACTTGTGGCGTGATGGCAGGTTGGGGCCAGAGTCGCTTGAGAAGGGGGGGCGGAGGAGGAAGGAGTGTGGGTGAGTGGTGCAGGGCTGGGGAATGACAAACACGATGAGAGGAGGGGAAGAGTGGGAGAGAGAGCAGGGTGCAGAGAGAGCAGCGGAGTGGGCAGCGGAGTGGGCAGCAGGATGGGGAGGAGCGCAAGAGGCGAGGGGACTAGGGCACGGAGGGCTACTAGGAGACGGGACCTGCAGCCGGCGCCGTCGTCGTAGGGCGAGTAGTCGTGCAGCTCGTCGCGGTGCACGGCGTTGAACATCATCGCCGCCACAGTAGCGAATATGCCTGTAACGAGGCGATAGGGGTAAGGAGGGTGGGGGCCAAATGAGGAAGGGGGGGAGGACGGGCTGGTGGGAAAAGGGAAGGTGGAATTGGACGCAATCATGTAGCGCAGCAGGGGGAGGCGGTACCTGGGACGTAGTGCGGTAGGGGGAGGCGGTACCTGGGACGCAGTGCGACAGGGGGAGGCGGTACCTGGGACGCAGTGCGGCAGGGGGAGGCGGTACCTGGGACGCAGTGCGGCAGGGGGAGGCGGTGCCTGGGACGCAGTGCGGCAGGGGGAGGCGGTACCTGGGACGTAGTGCGGCAGGGGGAGGCGGTACCTGAGACGTAGTGCGGCAGGGGAGGCGGTACCTGAGACGTAGTGCGGCAGGGGGAGGCGGTACCTGGGACGCAGTGCGGCAGGGGGAGGCGGTGCCTGGGACGCAGTGCGGCAGGGGGAGGCGGTACCTGGGACGTAGTGCGGCAGGGGGAGGCGGTACCTGAGACGTAGTGCGGCAGGGGGAGGCGGAAACCTGGGACGCAGTGCGGCAGGGGGAGGGGGTACCTGGGGAGGCGGTACCTGGGACGTAGTGCAGGAAGGGCACGGTGGAGGAATTGCACACGACGGCGTCCACCCATATCCACCACGCCGCACCGAACAGCGCACCCGCCGCTAGCGGGCCGAACCGCCGCCAGTGCTCGTAGGATAGCGGCATGCTGGCCGCGGCTTTAAGAGATATGCGGCTTGAAGGGAAAAACGACTGCTAAGAGACTTGCGACTTTAGCGGTTTGACGGGATTTTCAGTGACACGAGGTGGTGCGTTGCTCAACAAGAGGCACGTGGCCAGATGAGGAGCAGTACAAGATTGAACACGAAATTACTAGGAAGTAGGGAGTGAGCGCAAGGTGCGGGCGAGGTTGAGGAGACGGATGGAGAGGGCGAGTCGACGCAGAGACTATCATCTATTGAGGACGGGAGAACAGGAGTGACCTAGGAAGGTCGTGAATAAGCCAACACACTGAATGTGGAGGAAAATTGTGCTGTTCCGCTAACTTTTGCCCACTTGGTGTGATACTCGCTGAAAACAGCACTCGACTTTGGAACAGTTACCACTCCAAGAAGATTCCAATAATCAAGGGCTAATCTGGTTCATAAGAAAGGCAAGGAGAGCTGTACCACGTGCACCTTTGCTTTTGCATAGTTTGAGTTTGTCAGCTGAGTTGAGATTTTGAACACAAGGTGATCTGGTCGGCACATTCAGCAACCCGCTGCTTTCTTCTCCCCACCCAATTTACAGGCAATTCCTTTTCACCAGATACAGCTTCGGAGCCCTGAGAACTGCAACTAATGTAACTGTTACAAAGAAAGCAGAAAAGGACTTCTGCCAGCCTGAAAATAGGGGCTGGAATGAGATAAGCAGCGGCACAGCGGCAGCAGGCTCCTGTGGGTCCAGCAGCAGTGTGAGGGGGCGTGAGAGAGGTGAATCTGCGAGTGAAGCATGGGCGTGTGTGAGCGTTTAAGCCTCCTCGTCGGCCTCGTTCTCGGCGATGTTGAAGTAGCGCAGCTCGTACACGTTGCGGTCCTTGTTGGACGCGATCACCCGCAGCCAGTCACGCACGTTGTGCTTCTTCAGGTACTTCTTCGTCAGATACTTGAGGTACCTGCAGAGGCGTGATGTGGATGAGACGAGTGCGGGAGGGTAAGTGTGAAGCGGAGTGGACAATAATGAAAAAGCATTTCACATAAAGTGGCCCAGAGTGACCGCACTGATAAATCTAGGGTTACTGGACGTAACCTCTTACGCTCGAGCTCATCCTGGCATCACTGGTCTTATGACGCTCCGTTCTACACCATCATGCGTTCAGCTCCCTCCTACTCACTTGGATACGCGCTCCCTCCGGTTCCAGCCGTTTCTTCGCATACAACGGACGGTGGCAATACCGAGACCTACCAATCTCTCGCGCCACTGCTCACCACTCAACCCACTCACAGATAGATACCCCGCCCTGCCTCTCTAATCCCAACAATCGCACGTGTGCTACACCATGCACTCCAAGTCTCGAAGCTACCGTGCTTTGTCCGCCTATTGGCACTTCGACCACACTTCACATGCGACGTTCAAGGCCATGCGATGCAGAAAACTAGCCAGGATGCAGCTGCTCCATTCCACACGGTCGTGCGTTCACCTTCCTTCTACTCGAGTGACTATCGCACTCCATCCCGTTCCAACCGTTGGTTCGCAATCAGTCGCATCCTGGTAATAACTGGAGAACTATCAAGAGTGGACCTTCCAATCTCCCTGGGCCCCCACCCTGCTCCCTCCCCGGCCCTGCTAATGAGTCAGCTGAAGGAGGCCTCTATTTCATCTTCGAAGTCATTCTGTTAAACCCTGACGTGTCATCCCCGGCATGCTAAACGTGCGACTTTTAGAAGTGCGTGCGGTAGGAATGCAATTCACCCTTGATGCATGAACTATCAGTAACTCGCTGCTTGTTGCGAGAGTCGAAAGTTGTCGCAAATGTCGCGCCGAGCCTATACGCGCTAACGCAAGCAGTTGAATTGCAGCTATTGAGATCAGTGAGTAGCTTCGACCTGTTCGGCGTGAAACCCGAACTATCCCAAAGGACTGCTCTGCGAAGCGACGCTCCGAGGGAATGAGAAACGGTTTCCGGCATCTGGAAAAAACGGTTCTGTGAAGCCACACCCCAAGCTGAAAGCAGCTCTGAACGATCAACTCGATTCGCTCTATCAGTTGACCGCCTAGTATGCTAGCGCATGGATACCCGTTACGGCTGCTGCAATCGCGACGGTTACCCGCCACTGCGGAGCTAACGTTACGCTACTTGACCAGTAACGCTAATCACTGCCGGGCAATACAACGCTCCTGTTCGTCATCCTCAATGAGGTTCTGGCTGCATCGCCCAACACGACGAGCGAGATGCTCCCGGAAAAGAGTGTCAGATTTTATGGACTAAGCAATATTATCGACTATGAACCTGGAATATGGCCGAGCATAGTGCGTGCTGATGGATGGAAGAGTGGGGTCTGGGAGGGGGGATGTGTGTGAGGGTTTCCGTAACATAGAATGCAACCAGGGTCCTAACTAAACGTGCAGACTGGTATGGCGCGACTTGTCAAAAGGTTTGAATCCGAGTCAATGAGAATAACGTAAGCATATACGCGAATCAGGCTGACGTGGCGGCTAGAACACGCACCTCTTGGTGAAAGGTCCATCGACGGTGACGTGGATCTTAGCCTTGTCCTTAGTGACCTTCACCGTGTCGCCCAGCACGCCCGCCTTGTTGTCGACCTTAATCCGGTCCTGAAGAAACTTCTCGAACGACGCGATCTCCATTATCTTGTCCTCCACCGGCTTCGTGCAGTCGATCACGAAGTTGTGCGGCTTCCTCTTTCCCTTGGACCCGGCCGCAGCCTTCTTGGCGGGAGGCGCCATTGCGAAAGTCTAGGGTGGAGTGTGGAGGGGTGAGGGAAGACGGTCCTAGAGAGGAAGGAAAAGGAGGAAGAAAGAGGCTCGAGGGAGGAAATTAGGGCGAGTGGGTGGGAGTGGGAGGGCAGAGGGGAGGGGGGATTGGGGAAGGACGGAATTAGCACTGCGAATATATAAATTGCGAAAGGATGTACAGGTTACTCATCTGATTTCGTGAAAGTTTTGGTGGCTCACGAATATGTGGTAACCGACTGAACAGATTTTCAATTGAGGTTCTCTTGCGAGCTCACATGATTGAAGCGGACCACCCCTCTATGTTTGAGTGGCTTACCACCACGGTTTGGGCACTTCGCCAATTCGCAGCATCACAGATTCACCATCCCACCCTCGACATTCCGTCCTCGAATTTCCACCCTTGATTTCTCCGTGTCCGAGCAAGCGCACTGACCAGCCATTGGCTAGTGACTGTCCGCTCCCTGCTCGCCGCCTCCATCCTGTCAGTACCCGCGGCTCACTGTGTACTTGAGATTCCTTGAGGCGATCACTTACCAGTATTAGGTTGTAGATTAATTAAGGGGATCAAGCGCCGCCGTTATCCAGTTTCCAGCGACCTCGAGTTCTAGATACACGAGTAAGGATTCCAGCCATGGCCATTGCGACGGGTCAGCTAGCTCGCGATATCGCGTCAACGGCTACTCTAACATCGCACTCGAATTCAGAGCCTAACCGAGGTTCAATCGCAGCGTCACATATACCTGTATTTAAGGCCGTGGCCCTCTCTGCGAGCTCGCGGTACTCAGACAGATTCGTCGTCGCGACGCGACGCGGCGGTGACGTGAGACGACATGGCCGCCATGGCGCTACGAGGAGACACTGCTGTCGAGCATCAGTGGCGACGGAAGGTGCGGGTGTGTTTTCAGGCGCTTAAATTCTCATTGCGAGTGCGTCAAACAACCTGTAGCGACCTAAGTACAGTGACCGAAGTACGGTCATTCGCGTACCGTCCGTTATCCCTTCAGTCCATTGCCCGTCCAGTCGTCGCCATAGCATTCTCCTTCCGACATCATACCCGGTCCCTCCCGGCTGCTCACGGCTGAAATCTAAGCTTCTCAGGATCAGATTACCTGTTCCGTCTATCATTGCCATGGCATTCTCCTTCGACCATCATTGCGCTGTACTGCCCGCCCTCCGCACAGACCACGCCGCCTTCCTCCGCGACGTCGCGGCGATCGATCCTCCACCGCTGCTGAGCGCGCTGATCCGAGTGCTCCAGGCGCAGGGTGAGCGCATCCGGGCAGCTCTCGAATGATTGGATGGCTCCGGGATACCACATTGTCGCTTGGTTCATGCTCTATTCCCGTTTCCGCGACTCTCCGACGGCATGACCATTGAAAACCATGCAATGCGGCTGTCAACGGCGCAACTTCAATCTCCGCTTGCCACTCCACCTCGCTCGTCCTCCCTCCTCCCTTTTTTTCTCCCCCATTCACCGTCACGCCTCCCGCGAACCTAATGCGCAGGCGAGCAGCCTGTGTCCCCCGCTGATCGTCGGGGCATGGTACCGCTGGCCGTCCCACTCACGCGAAACCCAGCCACCGGTAAGCTCTGGTCGCCTTGCGGCCCGCAGAACAGGGCCGCTCACACTCACGCTCACACTCATCCCCATTATGGCGCAACACCCGCTTCCTCGCATGTTCCTTTCCCTGTCTTTCCGTCCCGATTGTGCCCCAGTTCCCGCCGTTGCTCCCCCCCTGCGCGCCCCTAGCAACCGTCCCCCAACATTTGTCATGAGTCCCTCTCCGCCGTGCCCTCCCCTGCGTTCCCCCAGGCACGGTGACGGCGCTCGTGGAGGAGGACGTGGGCGCGCGGGAGGGCAGCGCGGAGGGGGACTCGGGGAGGGTGGGGGAAGCTGCAGGGGAGGAGGGGCGCAGGCTGTATTCGCCTGGTGACTTCGCAGCGGCCAAGGCCAAGTCCCTTGATGCCTATCTGACCACCAAGGTATGCGTGAAGCCAGTTTTGTGCAGCTCTGCTCTCTCTCCTTCGTTGCACTTTCAACTTCCTCATTCCATCTTCTCTTTTGTCCTCTCCCTCAACTTCCATCCCTGCGTCCCTTCCCCTTTCCCCCTCTTCACGACTTGTGCTGGCAGGTGGGCATGTTTCCGGACGTCCTTGAGAGGCTGGCTCTGCGGCATCTGGAGCAGGGCGACCAGGTACGGTGCATGCGGCATGTAGCATGCATCCATCCCAGGCTGCAAGCCACGTGCACGCTGCACGCATACCTAGACTGTCGGCCCTCCTCCTCCAGCAGCTCTCTTCCTCTCACAGCCCTCGTCTTCCCCCTTCCTTGCACACACGCATTTGATCACAGAAGTTGATCCTCACATGCTTGTGCGTCACTGCAGGTGTCAGCGCTGGTGGCGGGGGAGTTCTATGCGCGTAAGCACTTTCCAGGCTTCGCACATCCCTTCACCTTCAACGCGCAGCTGCTGCTCAGGTGAAGCCAGAGTGGCTGTCAGGGTGACTGTTACAGGAGCAGAGCCAGCAGACCTGACAGCATGTTTTGAGAGAGGTTGTTAGGAAGCATGTAAGGGAGGTTCTTACCCATGCTTCGCACTGCTGAAGCTTCCTCTCACCTCCTTTTGTCTCCCTTCGCCCCTCCATCTGTCTCCGTGCCTCCATCGCTCCTCCTTCCGTCCATGGGCTCAGAGTTGGAAGGCCAACAGAGGCGAGGGATGCAGCGCGCATTGCACTCAAGTCCCCCTGGTGGACTCTGGGGGCCTCGTACCAGGTGAGTGCAGCAGGCATGGCCGTACCAGGTGAGTGCAGCAGGCACGGCCGTACCAGTGAGTGCAGCAGGAACGGCCGTACCAGGTGAGTGCAGCAGGCACGGCCATACCAGGTAGGCACAGCAGGTACGACCGTACCAGTGAGTGCAGCAGGCCTGGCCATACCAGGTGAGTGCAGCAGGCCCGGCCATACCAGGTGAGTGCAGCAGGCCCTCCGGCCATACCAGGTGAGTGCAGCAGGCCCGCCGGCCATACCAGTGAGTAAAGCAGGCCCGCCGGCCATACCAGTGAGTGCAGCAGGCCCGCCGGACATACCAGTGAGTGCAGCAGGCCCGCTGGCCATACCAGTGAGTGCAGCAGGCACGACCGACCAGGAAACCCCCTCTGGTGCTTCTGCATTCGGTCCACCCAATCCCTTTGATTCGTATGCCATGTGCGAGCAGGAGGTGGCGGAGCTGGCGGGGTATGGGGACTCGCAGCTGGAGTATGCATTGGAGCGGCTGACAGAGGACGGCACGAAGGAGGACGTCAACAAGGGCAAGGCGGAGGCGCAGGTGCGTGAGGATGGTGGTTGCGTGGGAGACTGGTGAGCCATTTGTGGTAATGTCAATAAACTGGGCGAAAGGGCACAGCACAGCAAGTTGAACGTCCACAGCATAACATTCTAGAGAACATGAATTCTTTTCCAGCAGCAAATGATTGTGCAGAAGCAGTAGAGGCAGCTGGTGCAGGCCAGCTTCACTCAGCAGTCAGCTGCTGCTAGTGCTTGGGGATGTTCTCCTCATCACTTTCCTGCTCCTTGCTTCTGCCCCATCCATCCCTCTTGTCTCTGCCCTCCCACACGACTGCAGGTGGCACTGGACCAGGCAGCCTTTCTGCTGGACGTGGCAGCAGCAGAGGGCACGTGGGATGAGACGCGTGAGCAGCTGGCAGGGTGCAAGAAATGGGCACCGGCACGCATGGAGTGAGAGAGAGGGCGAGCAAGCAGCCTGGTCAAATCAAATGCCAAGAAGCATGTGTACTTAACTCGAGAAGGGCAGCACTATTCTGTACATGGGCAGTTCAGTCAAGGCCAATATTCGTGGCTGAGCAGTGATTGATTTCATCGTGCTCCATGTTCCCGCAGAACTCGTACTGCTGCCAGTTGTGAGATTCTGGGGGGGGGTTATTCGATTAACGTGCATATTCAAGCAAACAGGAAGCCATGATCGATCCAACATGTGCTCTTACCGTACCAGTCAGTTCTGGTAGCAACATACCGGTAGCGTATCTACCGTACATTGTCAATTAAGAAAGTCAAAGTGCTGAAAGGATAATGTTGGTCCTGTATTTAGCCTGTAGGCATGAGGTCCGATTGGTGACTGGTTTGTGGCAGCTGCGTGGGCCATCATGGAGATATTCTGAATCTACAACTCACTAGGGCCCACCCACTGCCGGTGAACAGATGCCATGCTGTATCTTGAGGTCAGGATGCAAGGATCTGGGATAGGCTGTTGGGCTGGAGTGAAGGTTTTCTGGATGGGTAGGCTGCTTTACAGATGGCTTGTTGGCTGGTTAGCAGGTTAACTGGTTGGCTGCTTTGCTGCTTTGCTGCTTTGCTACGTGACATCTGACCCTCTGTGCACTGCAGTTCTTGCGCAATCTGTGACATGATAACCCTGCTTCCTCCTGTCAGTCCCTGCCATCCACACTTTTACGCGAGGGGTTTGCTTGTCTCATAGTTTCTTGGTGGCGGCTTTTTCTGTATGTGCATGCACACTGCATGCACCGCATGTTCAGTGCCCTGCATTTCCACGCTCTCATCTGTTGGGCTGAGAAAAAGCCCTTAGGATCTTTGCAGGACTAAATTCTGAGTAGGACAATGTAATAGCGGAAGCGTTAAGTAAGAACTTTGTGAACCACCTTGCGCTAGTATGTGAGGGCAAAATAGATTGATTAAAACAAAGGGATACAAGCTTTTATAAGAATACAAGGAATATGAAGAGATACAGTTAATAACTGTTTTGCTGTTGCTGTTGCGGTTCGATACAGTGACGACTCGGGCAACTGCTCAATAGCGAGTCACTTGTTTGTCCTTGCTGTCGCGCTGTATTTGTCAGGTCAAAGGTCGCTGACCTTTGACTTTCGCATAACCTCCAGCAGTTGTTCAACCTCCGAGGGTTGACTCGCTAATGCTTCGATATGTTTCGCTTCGCTTCTGACTTGGTGTTTCGACACGACAGAGGCGCTAAATCAATTGTTTCCAACACTCCCCTTCGCTTCTGGAGTGTCGCTGCTGGTGACGTGGCTTTGTCCAGTCAGCAGCATGCAGTACTCGAACTTCTGCTTCCCGAGCTTCTTGGTCAAGTAATCAGCTGCCATCTCGGACGTGGGACAGTAAGACAGCTCAAGTCTTCCCTTCTCGATCTCGTCCTTTACGAAGAAATATCGTAGGGCGATATGCTTTGTCCTGTTCGTGAATCCGTTTTTGTTGGCTATGCGAATTGCCGACTGGTTGTCGCAGAACAAGGAGAAGCTGGGTAACTGAGCCAGCTTCGCCTCCTCCAGAAGTTCGCGAAGGTACAGTCCTTCCTTGGTGGCTGAGCAGAGTGCGATATATTCAGCTTCAGCTGAAGAGAGAGCGATTAATTCCTGCTTGCTCGACTGCCACGAGATAGGTCCGATAGGCTCGAGGCGATAGATGTAGCCTGTGCGTGAGCGTCTGTTGTCGGAGTCGCCGGCGTGATCTGCGTCGACGTAGCCGATTAGTTTAGGTGTCGTAGTCCCGTTCTTGTGGTAGGTTAGACCGACGGTTGAAGTGCTGACGAGGTAGTGGAGAGAACGGTCGAGTTCCGCCATGTGTTCTGCTTCAGGTTTCTTGAGGTAGGTCGCGAGCTGACTTGCGGAGTACGATAGGTCCGGACGGCAAGTGACAGCTGCGAAGAGGAGGCATCCCAGCTTTCTCTGGTAGTCGCGTATGCCGGCGGGTTTTAGTGGAGCGGATCCTTCCTTGTTATTTCCTGCCGTGTAGCGGTATGGCGTAGAGATGGTGGTCGGCGTGAGTGCGAAGCGTTTGGCGATAGTGTCGGCGTATTTTGCGGCGTTGAGGTAGATCGCGTCTTCTTCTTCCTGGATGTTGAGGCCGAGATACTGCGTGACAGTGGACGAGACTGTGAGCGTGAGATCCTTCTGTAGTTCCCCTTCGAACCAGGTGGTGACATTGTTGGTCGAGCCGATGTAGACTAAATCGTCCACGTAGACGATCAGTAGGATGTAGTCGGTGCCCTTTGTGAGCCGATACATGCCCTGATCGTGAGGTAGTTGGCGGAATCCAATGCGAATAAGTCTTGCGTGCAGATACTGCTGCCACAGCCTTGGAGCTTGTTTGATGCCGTACAGGGATTTTTGCAGCTGACAGACTTGATTAGGTTCTCCGTGGGAGCCGTGTGGGAGTTCGACGAAGATTTCAGCGTGAACAGGTCCGTAGAGGAATGCGTTGGCGACGTCGATTTGCCGCAGTTTCTTTTTCTTCATGGCGGCGATCGCGAGGAGAATTCGTAGTGAGGTGTGTCGGCTGACCGGGGCGAATGTCTCGGTGAAGTCGCGTCCGTGTTCTTTGTCGAAGCCGCGTACGACCCAGCGCGCCTTAAACTTGTCGATGGTGCCATCTGCTTTTGTTTTCACACGGAAGACCCACTTCCCGGTGAGTACTGTCTTGTTTCGTGCCACGCCGATAGGGACGACTTTCCAGGTGTTGCGTTCCTCCAGTGCTTTCAGTTCCTTGTCCATGGCTTCTTGCCATTTTTCCCTATGCTCCCCCCCCAGAGCCTGCTGAACTGTGGCAGGCTCCTTAGGAATCTCCGTGCCGTGGACCGCGGTGACGAGGCCGAGTATCTGGAGGCCACTCTGTGTGTAGCGGGGGAGAGTTGTGTCCGCGGGATAAGCTGCTTCGTCACCTGCTTCTGGGTCAGGTATGAAGTTGGGCCCTATGCGTTCTGCTTCGTTGGTGTTGACTTCTGCAGGTGTAACATAACCGTTGTCGGCGAAGTGGTAAAATACTTCGGCGTTGGCGCTTTCGCGATGATTTTCGTCATCCATTGGGGCGTCGACGGAGCAGTAAGGGAGAGGTCCGGCTTCCTCCGAGGCTTTATCCACGTTCTGCTCGTCCCAGTCAGCTTCGTCTGCTGCCGAGGCGAAGGCTCGGTCACCACGGAAGCCACCTGTGGGGTCCCGGTCTTCTTCCAGGTTGGCAAGATACGTCGGAAGGGTGAGTCGTTCGTAGAAAATGACATCACGTGCTGCTACTGTTTCTTTGGAGTGGACGTCGAAAATCTTCTACGCGTTGTAATTTCTTTCGATGCCCAGGTGTAGTCCCCACTGTGCGCGTTGGGAAAATCGGCCGGTTCGTGCAGATGGGGGTCGGTACTGTACCATGCAGCCGAAAACTCTTAACATTTTTGTGCTGCCCTGTTTTCCTGTCCACAGCAGGTGCGGTGATGCGTTGTTCGGTAGTGACGATGACGAAAGCAAGTTGTGCAGCATGACAGCGTGGTCCATCGCCTCAGGCCATTGGTGATTGGGCAGTCGCATGCCACGCAGTAATTTGCGCATGGTGTTATGGAGAGTTCGATTCATCCGTTCTGCCACGCCTTGCTGCTGATGGGCATAGGGAAGCGAGATGAGCCTCTTGATACCTCTTTCTGCCAAGTACTGCTTGAACCTCTGTGAGGTGTATTCTCCTCCTCCGTCTGACTGGAAGCTTTTTAGTTTCACGCCTGATTCTCGTTCTGCTACTGGGAGCCAAGCGACGAAGGCCTCGAAAGCCATGTCCTTGCTCGGAAGGTTAAGGTGCCAAATGTAACGCGTAGCGGCATCGATGAACGTGATGGTGTAGCTGTATGCTCCTTGTCCAGGTTCGCGATTGTACAGGATGTCGCTGTACACTTTCTCAAGTGGTGCGTAAGCTGGTGCGCTGGGGTTGTGGTGAGAAGCGAATGGCCGATGTGGTAAGTCAGCTTCGGGGCAGGTAAAGCACGTTCCACGAGCTCGTCGAAGTTCGCTTCCATCGGTTAGGAGCAGTGAATCTTTGTCGAGTACTCCTGCTCTGATTGTGTTGTTTAACACCATGTTGCTTGGATGTCCCATTCGTGCGTGCCAGATGTCTTCGCTAGCTCGATGTCCGGGTCAACGACGGTACAAGTCGGAGTTGGAGTAGAAGTTTGCGGTGAAGTTTGCGCTTCGATGTACTTCTCATGGTGTTGGATTAAGTTGTTGCGCAGAATTCGGTGGAGTGTCGTCGATTGGAGCCGATGCAGTTGAAGGACCAGCGATTGGTGTCGATGTTGCTGTTGTTGCTGCCGTTGTTTCTGCTGTTGCCGATGTTGTCTTTGCTGCTGCTGATGTTGTCTCTACTGTTGCCGATGTTGTCTCTGCTGCTGCCGAGTGTTGAATTGTTGCTAATGCTCTTGTTCGTTCTGCCTCAGGGATGGTGTGCGAGTACCAGAAGCCTTCTGGACTGAAGTCGGGGTCGAGATCCGGTGGATGTGTCCAGGAGGTGAAAGTGACAATCCCGTCGCTATCAGTGGTGCCAAGATCTGGGACGAAGTCGAGGACGAAGATGTTGTTTTTCAGGACCGCCTTCCCGATGTAGAGTCCGCCTTTCCCGTGGTATAACTTGAACTCCTGAGTGGTGCTATCTGCTTCGAGGTGTATGCCCTTCGCCATCAGTTGACTGACGCTGAGTAGGTTGTAACCGAGTCCTTCTGCTATTAAAACATTTGACATCTGCAGTATGACGTTTGTCTCTCGTGACTGAAGTTGCACTATGCCTTGTCGTCGTGTGCACAGGTTCTGATTGTTGGCGACGGTGATGACGACCTCGCGTTGAAGTTCGTGTTCGCGTTGAACAAAGCGTCCTGAAGAGCACATGTGTTGTCCGCAGCAACTGTCCAAGAACCAGGTATCCTTCCCAGACGGTTCGCTTTGGGCG